CGATGAGGGCTTAGGGTCCGCGGGTCACTCGTTGGATACACGATCAGGCACTAACGTCAGTGAGCAAGGGAACCTGGTCAACGAACCACCAACAGAGAACGTTGGGAAGGAAGGAGTAGAAGGAGAAGCCCTCGGAGCACAACGCAATGAAGTACATGCACAGCAAGTAGAAGCGGAAGGCGAAGAACTAGCGGTGAAACAGAAATCTCAAACAAAGGATAAAGTAACAGTACCACAATCACTACCACCGACGCCAGCACTAATGCAAGGATCACAGAGAACGCCACGACAACCAAAAGAAAACTCAAAAAAATCAACAGGGCAGCCACCAAAGCTACAAGTACCACCAGCAAAATCGCCATCACAGGCATCTGATCTCGGTGAAGCCGATGCTGGTCCCGTTGGAATTGAAGGCACCGGTCGAAATGTTATTGGTGGCAGTCGTGATAAAAATAAAGATCCTAAAGGAAGAGAAGGTCATATTTCCGGGCCACCTTCCGGTGGTGCTTCATCTACCATTTCCAACAATGGAGACGCTTCACAGATGAATGGCGGTGCACCATCCACTCAGGACACGAAATCTTTAAAAAACAATGAGCAGTCAGGGCCAACAGCATCTTCAGGGAACGCACCACTCAACAGGGAGACACCGGAGACTTCAACACCCGATGCAAAACAGCACTCCTCTGAAACACAAGAAAATGAAACGAGTCAAGTTGCTGATGGGGATGCAAATTACAGCACCGCGGGGCAAAGTGCCGTGGGGACGAAAGGCTCTTCCGGCGTATCGACTACCGCCAGCAACGCACCAACAACACCACAACCACAACTGCCAGCACCTCCAGTACCACCCACAGCGACAGTAACGGGAGCGCCGGCAGAAAAACCAACTGCAGAACGATCACCACCACCGGCAGATTCAACAACAGGAGGAAACCTAGCAGCAACAACTACAGCCCCAACGAATGATACTACGACGAAGCCTGGCGACAGCGACAGCAACACCGCGGTCTCCCACACCACCTCCCCTCTTTTGCTTCTTCTTGTTGTTGTTGCGTGTGCGGCTGCTGCTGCGGTGGTGGCCGCGTGAGAGTGAGGGAGAGAGAGCCGTGCCCCGCCCGCACACACACTCGTCCTTCACTCTCTGTGTGTGTGTCCCCTTGCATGGACTCTCGCCCTCACCTCACCCCACGAGGCACACACATAATGTGCCCATTGTACGTACGCATGCACACCCATGCAGGCCCGTTGGTGCACTCTTTTGCACGACACGCACCGCTGCCGTCCTGCCTGGCTGCATGGGCGGAGCACCGTAACTGTTTCTGTTTTGTTTCCATTGAATTGAGTGGGCGACCTCTCTCTCTCTCCCTCTGTGTGTGTGTTTTGCTTTACGGGAGCAATGAGTGTGTGTGCGCTGGTCGTCCCACAATTTTTTTTGTTTTTTCATTGTTGTAATTGTGTTGTGGTTGAGTCCGCCTTTGTCGCGCGTTTTTGATTGGCATTTTGCTTTGACTTTGGAGACGTGAACCTTTTTTTGTTTCATATTGTTTCTGTTCTTCTGTGAGTTTGTCAGCCTCTTGTATTCTTCTCAAGCCAATTAGATTTTCTTTGGCTTATGATATGCGTCCGTTGATCCACGTTAACCCCACGGTCTGCATCGCTTCTGGTGCTGCTATTGATGATCTTTGCGATTTGATTTGTCAGCGGTTGCTTTGTTGTCTCCCTGAATTATTCCTGATTCTTTGACGATGTGGTCTCCTCCGACGGCGAGGTCGATACCGGTGACGGTGGGGAGAATGCATCTCAGGGCGCTGGATGCGTTGCAGGCGTGCAGCGGCGTCTGGAAGGCCCGATGGGTGCCCGTCCGCATTAAAGTGCCAAAAACGGACCCGTGTGAGAGCAGGAGGCACTGCGACTTCTCCCGGTCCTGCACAGCGAATTCGTTCGACGGCGCGTTTGGCTGTAAGAATGGTGTTTTGACCTCTGCGCACGAGAACGCTCTTGCCGAGGAGACTGTCCCTGCTGCTGTCAAACTGCATGCGGATCGTCTGCTCGTCCGGCCAATGGAGGGTCCGTTGATTGTGTCCTCATTTGCCACGGGCAGCGTTTGCAGTTGGTTCACGGTGCCTGCTGGGCATTGTTCCGCTGGAGTTGCCGATTCTGTCATGGTGCTGTGCGTGGCTGCGGCGCTTGGTGGTGTGTGGGCACTGCTGTGCGCCACGCTGGAGGATGTCCTTCCCGTCGCTGGCGCCATGCACTTTCCCGGTCGTTTCATTTCACGGACGCATCGCCGCACACCTGATGGCCCATGCTCTCGGGTTCAACTGCCTGCACATGGCCAGCCGCAGCATGGTGAGGAATGTTGCCTGTGTGCGTGGCAGGGCGCTGTCGGTGGTGGTGGACTCGACGACTGCCGCGATGGCTGCGAGGGAGCACCACGACTGCGACGACATTGATGGCATGGAGCTGCAGGATGGCGATGGGGACGGGAGGACGCTGGAGGCGCACTTATCACAACACCACGCGAGGGATGAGTGGATGGCACCGATTGGGAGTGCCGGCTGCCGCAGAAGAAGTGCTCCGCACTGAAAATGAATGAATATTGCCACATGCTTTGCGCATTGGGCGTTTCTGCCAGACGCCGCACGTCGGATCGTTATTCCAGTGGTTGCTGTGTAGACGGAGTATCCATGAAATGTCAGCCAAACGCCTGATGGACCGTTGCCCCATCACTGATCCCGCACTGGATGTTAGGGATATTGAGGCTGTTCTTTGGAAGGAAGAACGTTTGTCTGTGGTGCCTGGGGATGGGCCCTCTTCGTGGTGTCTGGACACGCTTCCCAACAACACGACGGATGCGAGGGACCCGGAAGAAACATACATCCCGGTGCTGTCATGCATGCGGCATTGAGGTGCCTCGGCATGCAGTTGCATCTGAGAGTGACTGAAGGGGGTAACGCCCGTTGTGCCCCATGCACGGCCGGAGCGACGATTGCGTGGGCCGCTCCGCCCTACAATGAGGGAAGCGGTATTTGCCGTGACCACGCGCAGGTGTGCACGATATCTTTCACCAGCGGTAGCCTACTTCCAATAGTTTCGTGGGACGGCGAGGAGAGAGCGTGTGGAGCAGGACGGTCTCACCGGCATCTACTGAACAAGCTTTGCTACGGGCATCCGTCCCCGATCCAGAGAGCATTGGGACCGGCCGCGGCACACCACCGAAGGATGTCGACTTAGCTGCTCCCCAGAAGCATCCGTCGCCAGAGGAGAGGGAAGTTGCCTCCGGTGCCACGACGGCAACGGAGTGCTCTTGCCCAGCGAGACCGCGGGTGCGCCGCAGGAGGCGGAGAAGAAGCGCGATCTTCCGGACATCGACGATGTGGCCGCCGATGGCGTGACGTCTGTTGTGGGACAATCATTATGAGATGAGGCCGTGAGCAACAAGGCCGGTGGCGGTGCCACAGCCACGGGACCCAGGAGCCCTGATGCCGCTGATGACGCGCAGGGCGCCGTGGACCCTCCGCCGAGGGAGGATGAAGCGGCGGTGGTGCGCGCGGGGGTTGGGAGGCAGACATGAAGGACGCCCCGCCTCCGATCCACGGCAATAACAGTGCGGCTGCTGCTTGTCCCTTTCCGCTGATTCTTCTGCTTGCCGCTGCCGCCGCGGTGCCAACACTCAGCAGTGGGTGCAAGAGAGAAAGGCCTATATCAACTGGCATGTTCCTGTCAGTATATACATACGCTCTGCTTTTCTGTATAATTTGTACCAGGTACATGCTGTATGCACTCTCCCTCTTTTGTCGGTCGCTGATGTGGCGGCACCACGCTTGTATTATGGGTTGGGATAAGAAATTGTTTGGCTTCTTCTGAGGGATACTGTGGGGTGTTTGTGTGCGTGTACGAGGGATCTGTGGGTTTTGATTTCCCTATTTTTGTTTACCTGCTTTGGCATTGTGTAATGGTACTTCCCTTCTCCATTATGTGTGTTCTGAAGTGTTGCTAGGGCACCGGGAGCGGATGCCTGTTGATGCACACCGTGCATTATGCGCTACATTGGTGGGAGGGGAGACTGACATAACTGGCGGGATTCAGTAAGGCGCATTTTTGCCCACGGACCCTGCAGCCGCAGCAGCCTGAGTGGCGCTTTGCATATGGACGTGTGGATTGTTTCTCTCTTGTGAGGCCTTTTCTACTGCGTGTCATTCTCCGCTCGGGTACCGTGCCCGTGGCAGCAGCGGCGGCATCAAAAGAGCATTGCGTGTTTGGAGAGTCCTTGATTGAGTACCTGTCTTCCTTCTCTGTTCTGTCGATCGATTGTACCGTGTGCCGGCCAAACGGTTGACATGACGTTCTTCTGACGGCGGGGTCCACGTGACATGATGTTGCGTCGCGTGCTTTGTTGCGGGTGTGTGATTTCAGCAACGGTTTTTGGGCGGTTGCCTGTTGGGTCGTTGAGGGCGGCGTGGCGACGGGTGTGGATGGACCCGATTGTGAGCCGTGGCTGTTCGTGCGGGGGAGCCGCGGGAAGGAGGAGGCAGCGGAGCGATGGACTCACGAGGAGTGCGGTAGCGTGCAGTCATGAAGATTGGCGACAGGGTACTCACTGCCGCTGTGAGTTGCCGTGTGTGGTGTTTGTTTCTGTTATTATTGCTTGCGTTGTTGGATGTGGCCGCTGTGGGGGAAGACTGTTTTTTGTTTCTTTTTCACGCCGGTTTGGCATCCTTTTCTGCGCCGTCATCTCTGTGTTCCTGCCGCACTCTTGCGTCCTCCTTCTCTTCCATTGGGGGCAGCTGCGGGTGGGTTTTACATGCCGTGGAGTTGTGCGCCGTGCTGTCCGGTGCTTCATTTTTGCCTGTTCTTCCTGCGTGCACGCGTCCCCCATGCTCATGACAACAACCCTCATGCAAACGCCACTCCTCCTTTTCCATGCTGCTGATGTGTGTGTGTGTTCTTCTCATCCTCCTCTCTTTGCCCCTCCCTAGACTGTGTGTGCAGCCGTGATGATGATGATGATGACTGGCCGTGTGCTGCTGGTGTGTGCCCTCTGCGTGCTGTGGTGCGGCACTGCTGGAGCTGCTGCTGATGGTTCTGAGGAGAGGGCGGATCTTTCAGGGATAGGTGGTGGATCTCTGCCGGAATTAAAAGAAATTGGAAAGTCCCCAGAAGAACCCCAGGGCAAAAAAGATGAAGCAGGAGATGTTAAAGGAAAAAAACATCCCGCATCCTCAGAGGATGAAGAAGAAGATGATGCAGATGGTGATGAAGAAGATTATGACGTTGTTGATGATGATGATGATGTTGAGGAAGAAGAGCGAGAAGAGGAAACAGTAGAGACAGCAGAGACAGAAATACCCAATGATCCAACAAAAGAGGAAGCATCATCACCACCACAATCAAAGCACGAAAAAGGGCCAGCAGCAGCACCAGCAGAAGGAATCCCAACAACACAATCACCAGCAACGCCAGTACAACCAACGACGCAAGGACAGCCGCCAACGGCAGCGCCATCACCAGAAGATTCACCAGTGCCAGCAGCGTTGGCAGCAACAGTAACACCGGCAGTAACACCATCAGAACAAGGAAACACACCAGCAGCGGCGCGGAAAAAGGATGAAAAACAATCGGAAGATATTGACCCGGCACAAGAAAGCGAACAGCCCGATCCTCAAGATGTCGTGTTAGTGCAACATTCACAAGGTGTTCACGAGAGCAAGGAGTCAAACAACAATCCACGAAACCCAGCCAGCGCCTCCGCCACTGCCAACCAGCGGGATGCAACATTTAACGGTCGTGGTGAACCAGCACAAACAACATCTTCAACTAAAAGCGGTTTTGAGAGTAACGACGATAACAGTGGCACTGAAGAAGGGATATCAAGCGATGATCCAACTGCTGACGGTGCAGGGAAAAACGACACAAAAAACAGTCAAAATAAGCATGGCAATACGAAGGAAACCCCAGTCGAAGCCACAGCCGTAAAAGCCACAACGGCGACGACTGGCGAGAGTGACGGCAGCACCGCGGTCTCCCACACCACCTCCCCTCTTTTGCTTCTTGTTCTTGTTGCGTGTGCGGCTGCGGCTGCGGTGGTGGCCGCGTGAGAGTGAGTGAGAGAGCCGTGCACCGCCCGCACACACACTCGTCCTTCACTCTCTGTGTGTGTGTCCCCTTGCATGGACTCTCGCCCTCACCTCACCCCACGAGGCACACACAATAATGTGCCCATTGTATATATGCATGCACACCCATGCAGGACCGTTGGTGCTCTCTTTTGCACGACACGCACCGCTGCCGTCCTGCCTGGCTGCATGGGCGGAGCACCGTAACTGTTTCTGTTTTTTGTTTCCATTGCATTGAGTGGGCGACCTCTCTCTCTCTCCCTGTGTGTGTGTTTTGCTTTATGGGAGCAATGAGAGTGTGTGCGCTGGTCGTCCCACGCTTCGGCTTTGTTTTTTTTTCTTTTATTGTTTTTTTTGATTTTGTGGTTGAGTGCACCCATTACTTTTTTATCGATTATTGGCAGTTTGCTTTGACTGCGAACGTATGACTTTTTATTTTTTATTCTTTGTTTTCTTTTCTCTGAGATATTGTCAGTGTTTCCTATTCTTGTCAAGCCATGAAGTGTTTTCCTTCATGTAAAGCATGTGTCAGTTGATCCACGTCACCCCACGGTCTGCAGTGCTGCTGGTGCTTCTGGTTGTGATGTGTTGTGCCGGCGGGTGCTTTGCTGCCAGCCTGACGTACTCCTGCTTCTCTGACAAGGCGATGCGTGCGGACAGGGCGAAGTCGATCCCGGCTGTGGTGAGGGATGTGCCTTTTGGATCTGAGGGTGCGTCGCAGACATGCACCGTCATTGGGAGGAATGGATGGGCGCCCACCCGCATCAATGTGTCGACAAGGGACGTGGATGGCACCAGGAAGTATTGCAGCTCGGAGCGGTATTGCGCAATGAATTCATTAGTGTCAATTGCAAGTGTGAAGGTGACTTTTTTCTATGCTGAGAAAAGGGAAATATTTGTTTCGTTATACCTTGCAGCCACTGTTCGTTAATGGCCTGCGGGCTGTCCGTGGCGATGTGGCCAGTTTTCCCTCTTGAACGATGCTGTCGTGCGAGAGGTGGTGTTCCCAAATAGTCGGATGCTCAGTTGTCGAGGACGGCGGCATTCCCACAGCGTGTGCGGCAGGGCCTCCCGTGGATTGTCGCGGCTCAGCGGCTGGTGGTGGTTGTAGCAGAGGAGTGGCTGAAGGGCTACGGCTGTCATTGGAGCTTGCAGAGGTGCGTTGTCCGTTTTTTGCTCGTTGATACGCCTGACATTTTCGGTAGTGACCTGCGCGTGAGGCACCTGTTGGGGAGACCGTGGAGCTGTCGCAGAATCCACATGTGAGGCCTTCTGCAACGATTGGAGTGCCAGAGTTAGTGCGTCGGGCGTGTGCCTTCATATTGTGGACGGACGAGAAGACGCTGCTGCAGCTTGGGCAGGACGACGTTGATCCGCTGCTCGTCTTTCTACGAGGAGGTGCCGTGGACACGCCAGGTGGAGGTTCCGGAGGAGGTCGGGGCGGTCCTGCCTCTTCAGTGTGAGGAAGGGACGGCACCACCGACATAAAGGGTTGCCTGTGATCTGCAGGGTGCGTGCCGGTCTGCCGAGGAGTGGACAGGAGGACGTCCATCACCCGCTTGCTGGTCGGCAAGGAGTGGCGGTGCTCACGTCGGGAAGAGGTTACGGCGGAGGCAGAGCACAGACGCGGTCCCAACAGCACCGCAGCACAGCCGATCCCAGAGGGCAGGAACGTGGCGCCACCATGCCTCGAGGCATCACAGGCCTGGGATCGAGAGGACACCAAGCTGTTTCGCACGGACCTCTAGCAGCATGGAGAAGCCACGACGGAGGGCATGATTGCGGTCCTCCCGTTTGCGGAGCAATTCAGCTCGGGGCAGGCTGCCGCTGCAACACACTCGGCGTGCTCCATTACGTCCGTACAGATTACTGTGGGAATGTCACGGCTGCCGCTCGTACGGTGCCTCGGTGCATCTCAAGCCATTTGATTACAATGGTCAGAGACGTTCCACACGCCGAGGTGGAAGCATCACAGTCAGCTTCACGCAGGACAACGAAGACATGTTTCCGTCGTGGCAGCATGCCTGCCTGTCGCGGGATGCCGTCCTCCGTCCCTGCAGTGTGGGATGGCAGATGGTGGTCCGAGTCCATTCAAACAGGTGGACGTCCAGTGGGAGACACGCAGTGCGCGTTGCGCAATCACATCGGGAAACGAGACGCTGCGGCCGCTGATCCACGTTGCCTGTGCAGGGTCGTCGGAAAACTCAATCTCCATGCCGCTTGGGGTGGCGGCGGGGTCCTCTCCTGCCGTCGTGGATGGCGAGCAACCGTCCCGCAGCTCGTGGTGTGAATTCAGGTCAACCGCAATAGGAACAAGACGATGAATGGTGCTCGCAAAGTGAGCAGCGTGAGCAATTGCCGTGGGAAGGCTGCAGAGGTTCACCACGTACATGCTGGGGCAGGCAGGTGGGCACACGCGGAAGGCGGTGGTCTCCAGGCAGTTGGTGCCACGAGTAGAAGCGCTCGCACGACAGGGTGTGGCGCACCAAGAAGGCCACGCCACCGGCACGCCCACCGCAGGCCTGGTGGAAGTCACGGCAGTCAATGAGCCTCGTCGCTGGGGCACCCTGGTGCCTGCACTCCTGCAGAAGAACCATGCCGGGATGGTGCTGCGCCAGTCGAGCAGCAAGGGCAATCCTGAGGGGCGAAAGGCCTGAAGTTCTGAGCTGCCAGACAACTACGACGCCATCCTCATCGAGGCTGCGGCTCTTGCGGACACCACCGCAGCGGGTGATGCCGACGAAGTGGCCGCACTGAAGCGACTGTGCGGTTCTGTCAGTCAAGCTGCAGGCAAACCGCCTCGCCGCTCCACAACCGACAGAGCGTGGGACCTTCTCGAGGGGTGACGCCGTCGTGGTCCCCATCACGCTCGCAGCAATGCCCTGCCGCAATCACTCCGACAGAGAGACAGGGAAGAGTGTGTAGATGTGTGCCGAGAGCACAGCGACTGTCATCGTCAGAGGCGGCCATCGTGGCACCGTCCGTCACGCGTCAGCACACACCAAGCAACGCACGAACCCAGCACAGTAAATACAACAAGAGAAGAATGATCCCAAGAGCAGTCAACACCTTCACGCATGGCGGGCATCGTGCAGCCGTGTTGCCATTTCAGCACGGGACGCAAGCCAACGTCCTGCCGTCGCCAAGAGCATTCCTGCAGAGCACCGTGCAATCACTTATTTTCTGTGTGCTGGAAAGGCAGAAAGAGGAGCACAGGGAGGCACATCAACACGGCAAGAGGCACAGCTGGATCGCAGGAATAAATGCGGTACGGACCCAACCTCAACAATCACGCACGGTGGCAGCAAACATCCACAAAGCAAAAAAAGAAAAACACGGCGGCAGGGTGTGGCTGTGTGTGTGGCGCTGCGGGTGTCTGCCCGCCCTGACCGCAAGAAAACAAAACAAGAGGGGAAGAAATGTGTGCTCCGCCCCACAGGCCCTCGTCGCACGCCCACACGTCACGGCTCCCTCAGCGCGCCGTTCGTCGCGGCCCCTCCTCATGCGTGCAGCAGGCGAGGCGCACAGGGCCGTCGTCATGAGCGTGTCGGTGGGTGTGCGAGTGGAGCAGTTGGGCGGGAAACACACGGCACCCCTCACAGGAAGAGTGCAGCAGAAACAATTAAAAGAGGGAAGAGTAGAAAAAAAAAACGTTCATATTGATTGCCCCCGAAAGCAAAAAAGAGGGATGTGAAAAAAAGCAAAAAACACATGAAAATGAAAAAAGAATTTTAAAACCAGAAAGAAGCAAACATTAAAATAAATTTAAAATACGCAAAAAAAGGACTGGGTTTGTAAGAAATAGAGAAACGCTCATAGCAAAAGCAAATTAAAAAAAATTAACAAAAAAACAACAACAACAAAACAGAAACAGTTACGGTGCTCCGCCCATGCAGCCAGGCAGGACGGCAGCGGTGCGTGTCGTGCAAAAGAGAGCACCAACGGGCCTGCATGGGTGTGCATGCATATATACAATGGGCACATTATGTGTGTGCCTCGTGGGGTGAGGTGAGGGCGAGAGTCCATGCAAAAAACACACAGAGGCAGAGAGTGAAGGATTAGTGTGTGTGCGGGCGGCGCACGGCTCTCTCTCCCTCACTCTCACGCGGCCACCGCAGCAGCAGCCGCACACACAACAACAACAAGAAGAAGCAAGGGAGGGGAGGTGGTGTGGGAGGCCGCGGTGCTGCCGTCACTGTTTTGTGTAATCGTCGCCGTTTGATTTGTGTTGGCGGTCCCTGTTGATTGAGGTGATGCCTCACTCATTTTGACGCTGCTGCTTTCACTGTCTTTAGGCGGCGTCATGGAGGTTGTTTGAGTGGTAACGTTCGGTGCGGCTGTGGAAGTTTCCCGAGGTTGTTCCAAGGAAGAAGTGACATTTTCACGCTCCTGCCCCTCTTCTGACGGTGCGGCAACATGAGTTTCAGTACTCCCCGAATTATCTTCTGTGCGCTCCTCACTTTTACGGCTGACAACATCGTCGTTACTTGAAACAGTTGGCGGATTATTACGCTCCGGACTTTCAATAGATGCATGCTTCGTGTCCCCTTGACTGAGTGAAGTCGCCGATTCCCCTGGCGAATTTTCGGATGTTCCATCACGCCGCTCTTCTTGCAGTGATTTTGAATGTGGCGGTGGATCCGTATTTTTTTGGTCGGTGTGTGGCTGCTGTTTTGTTAATTCAATATCTGAGCCAGCTTGCGATTGCGGGGACCCGGGTGCGGAATCTTCAACGTTTTGCGGCTGTGTTTTCTCTACGGAAGGGTTTCCTGCTCCACCAGTCACCGTACGATCGATTTCTTTGTCGGTAACAACACCACCACTCGCAGAATCAACAGTTATTTCGGCAACAGGTACCACCTCCTCTTCACACCTACCGCCGGCACCGCACCACAGCACGCAGAGGGCACACACCAGCAGCACACGGCCAGTCATCATCATCGCCATCACTCCTGTCACTTGCGTGTAGCCTTCAGCACAAACTAACAACACGTCAACGCAGAGTGAAAGCAAAAAGGAGAGACACGTCACACACCACACACAATAACAAATGATAGCAGCCCAGAAGCAGCAAATACCATGATGCAGTTGGAATCAGTGCGATTGCAGAACTCGCGCACCGCACCGCAAGGCAGAAATTTAAAAAATAAAAACAGAGTTGAGGGTCCGGAAGGATACCCGGAGAAAATTTAAAAAATTCATTCGACGGAACATTAATTTCATATGCCAAGCAGCACAAGACAACCGTGTGTGTCTGTGTATACATAATGCCTTCACCAAGAAAATAAATAAAATAAGAAAAGATCGTACTGTTCCCCAAGGCCACACACAACACTCTTCACATTTAATTGCGGCATCCGGCCTGTTCCTCCGCTCCCCCTTTCGTGCAGTCCGTGGGACACACAGCAATGGGGCCGGCACCGCGTGTGGGCAACAAAAAACAAGGAGAAACGCGTCACTCGTGACAGTGTGCAGCAACCGACCATTAAATAAAGGAACGGCAAGGATACTTATTATTCCAGGAAAAAAACAAAACCAACAGTAAAATGTAAATAATAAAAGAAAACACGCAGGGAACGCGGCACATGTTCTCCGTGAGGAGCCGCAATTCCACACTCTTCGGCTCAGACTGCCGTCACAACCCCACACAATCCCAGAAGAAGCAGCAACACCCAATACACGCACACACGCACAGTGCCGTCAACAGTTAACTCTCGCAGTGTCAATTTCGCGTCGTTGCACAGGGCAAAGCAGTCGTCCTGTAGACTCACACCGCTGACAGAATACTGCGCGGTGAATTCTCGTAATTGGGGTTTGTACTCGTGTCCAGAGGCATTGCGTTGGGTCAATCCGTCCGCATCACCCTCAGCAACAAATCCACTGCCTGCAACGCCGTTTTCTAAAAAGAGAGATTTGTGTCCAGTGGCGCCGGGCTCACTCACCTCGTCCGTGTTATCCGCAGCAACGTGTTCCCTGCCGCCACAAGTGACAGACATGATCCCGGATGCATTCGACGCCACTAATATTCTCGGACCGTTGGCAAAGGAAGGCCTCTTCTTGGATGCATTCGGGGCCATCATTTCGCTCGGATTGCTGGCAAACTCAGGCCTCGTCCCGGACGTGATGGTCGCCGTGTTGGATGCGGGACTCGGATCGACGGTGTTGTGTCCGTCAGCCGCCGCAGACTGTCGCCAATCCTCGTTCTGACGTGACGGCTCAGCATTAACTTGCGGCGCAGTTGTCCCACCAGATTTTGTGTCATCCTTCCCTTCACGGGGTGGCGGCAACTGACAGATGCCGTACGGTCAGCATCGCTGCTCCGTGCAGGCGTATGGATGGTTCCATCGGGATAAAATTGACGCCACCACAATTCATAAGGGCCGGCGTATTTATGCGTCGTCACATTCATCGTGAAGGCAACGGTGGCCCCTTCCTCTTTCCTTGCACAGCTGGCAGCACAGTTGCTACATGTGTGCACCGCATTGGCCACATGGCACACAGCGCCCAGCTCACCATTCCTGCCATGCATGCGCACACCAAAGCCACTGAATGCATAATTCTCATGCTGAGCCCCAGCACCGGCAGCAGAACACTTCTTCCACACACACACACACACGAACGCGATAGCTCAGGCCGCCGTCACTCGGAGCCCAACTCAACGCGGTCACATGCGGTGCTCCACACCCGCAGGAAAGGAGACGCGGGGTGCTCACTCCCTCTCCTCCCTTCTCCTCATGGCCACGGAGGAAGACAACAGCCGCCACACGCAACTGCCAGCATGCGCTGCAAAAGAAGCATTCAAATCCACCGCAATGTGCATCTCGTGTGTGTGCCCGCAGAAAGCAAAGAAGTAGAAGAAAGGAAACGGAGTATGTGGAGGGACGCACAAAAATGTACAGCGGAGTTGCATGGCGGAAGCAAGAAGAAGAAGACCGCTCAAACTCATGACTGCACCGCAGAAAAAGCAGCGGCAATTCACACAATATTTATTTAAAACAAAAGAAACCTTCCCTTCATCTTATATAAACCCCATCATAAAAAATAATTACAAATAAAAAAGAAATCGTCCATTACTGTTCCACACAAATTTAAAAAAGCAGCCGGATGCCGTGTGGCCACACCAAACTGTCTGCATATTTTGCCCGCAAATAAAATTAAAAGATATTTAAATGTCTTTCAACCGTCCGACCCTCTGTGTGTCCGCACATCGTTTATATTTCAAGGGGTCATCTGCGTGTTGCTGCTCCCCTCAGCCCTCCCATCGGCGCGTGAGTGCGGCCCGCAGAGCACAGTCACTCGTGTGTGTGGGGACTGAGAGAAGCACGCAGACATGACGGGAGTCGCGTCACTCCATCGGGAGAGTGAGCGCAGCAAAAGAAAAGAAAAAATCATCGGAGGAAAAGAAATGCTCACGAGGCCGACACCGAAGGGACTGCCAGCGCAAAAAATAAACACGAAAAGCAAAAAATATTAAAAACACGGCGGCAGGGTGTGGCTGTGTGCGTGGCGCTGCGGGTGTCTGCCAGCCCTGGCCGCAAGGAAAACAAAACAAGAGGGAAGAAATGTGTGCTCCGCCCCACAGGCCCTCGTCGCACGCCCACACGTCACGGCTCCCTCAGCGCGCCGTTCGTCGCGGCCCCTCCTCATGCGTGCAGCAGGCGAGGCGCACAGGGCCGTCGTCATGAGCGTGTCGGTGGTGTGCGAGTGGAGCAGTTGGGCGGGAAACACACGGCACCCCTCACAGGAAGAGCGCAGCAACAAACAATTAAAGAGGGAAGAGTAGAAAAGAAAAAAACATCCATAGTGATTGCCCCCAGAAAAGCAAAAAAAAAAAAAAAAAGAAATGGGTATATAAAACGCACAGCAAAGCAAACAGGGAAGAAGTAAAAAAAAGTTATTAAAGAAAATAAATTAATTACCGTGTGTGTCGGTGCAGGGGAGGTCGCAAGTGTCCCACGCGGCAGTCAGTCACTCCTCACAGAGCCGCAAACCCCCACAGTCCCAACAGAAGAAGCAGCAGCGATGGCAGCAGTCCGCTCCCACACATGGTGCCGGCATCGGTGTTATTCCCCTGCGACAAATTTTCGAGGCTGCTGTTGAGCTCCGTAGCATTCACTTCCCTGTTCAGTGGCTGTACCTCTTCCTTCTGCACATCCGTTCCTTCTCTTTTCTCCATCGTTGGCTCGCCATCAGCAGTAGAACCGCCATCCACGGTTTGAGCTCCATCGGAAGATTTTCCTGACGCCACCTCCTTTACGGAGTCCTTTTCTGCCGATGGAGTGCTGACAGCAGACACCGCTGATGTGGATGCACCGCCACTGTCGGCACCACTGCTCCCCATCGGCTGTCTCTGTTGCGTGCGATGTGTTACGGCGGGAGTGGACGAAGTTCCGGCTATCTGAGCATTTTTTTTCACCGGAGTGATGGGAGGTATAATGGAATCAGAAGCAACTGGTGAAGGCGACGACGGCTCCTTCACCAAAGGTGAAATGGGGACTTTATTCGGTTTGAGGGACCCAATCTCTGCGGAACTCAACGGGCGGTTGTACAGCAGGACGTTCCTCACAGTCACAGACACGTCGTCTTGGCCCTCTGCGCGGCCTCCATCCCCTCCAATGAAGAAGTGTGAGATCTCCTTCGAATCCGCAATTTTCAATACACATGACTCATCTCCGACACTTTTACCATCGACGTACGCGGAGCCCTGGTTGCCGTTCCGTAGCACAATGGCCACTTGGTGTTTTGATGTCTTTGTCTCCAAATAGCTGCTGTGCTCCTTGTTCTTTCCGTCATCGCACAGTAGCATCCACCCCTTTTCCTTGTCATACGACAGTCCCAGGAGAACTGTATTCTTACCGTCATCCATCTTCGCACCCATCAATGGAATGGGGGTAGCTCCCTCCGGCTCACCGTGGATGGACACCGTCGCCACAAGAGTGAAGTTGTAGTTAGCAAAGTGGTACAGCTGATTCTCCCCTTGCCTGCCAACAGGCCACTCCGCCCACGCACCACGTCCTTTAAATGTTACGCCATCGGAAGGCTCTGCTACTTTCGTTGTCCCGCCAGTTACTGTGGCGTTCACCCCGAGGTACTCGTCCCTCCATGTGTCATTAGAGAAGTTGCCGGATAAAAAGCCAACCAGCCCATCCGTGATTTTATCAGTAGTGCAGGCAGTGTCAGTTGCGGTGTCCTCCAGAGCACCCTCAGAAGGGCACAGCTTGGAGACACGTTTGTCCACTTCCTCCCAGGTCGCCAGCACCTCCTTCACACGCTTCAGCTGCTCAGTCAGACGCACAGAGACCATACCGAGTGATGGTTTTTCCGCATCGTCTTTCTTCTTCTCGTACAGTGCAATCAACTCCTCTTTATTATTATCTCCACTTTTGTACAACAGGGCGCTGGCGGCAACATCTTCGTCCTTCCCGGACACCGGCCCAATATCAACAATGTGCGTATTGTCCGTCAGCCAAAGATGGAGTTCACCTTTTCCATTTGCGCTTACCCCCTCAGTCTTCTTTGAATATACCGGCAGAGTAACGAGCATCACGTCCCTGTTATCGCCAATCTTCGCTGTGGTGAACCCGCTTCCAACGCCCTTCTCATTTCCCTTTTGTTTGCTGCCCCACACGCGCGAGAGTGTCCCGAGTGCATCCGTCCACGAATCCCCCTTTTCACCGGACTCGTACACCCTGCGGCCACCATCACACGCAGTCATCATCATGAGTTTGTCCTTCCACTCCACGACGGAGGGATCACTGCAGCCATCGGCAGACATCCCCTTCGACAGTGTCCAGCTCTCAGTACCCTGCAAGTATAGGACCAGCGAAACGGTCTTTTCATTCTTCTTAGTCCCTTCCATTGGGAACACAAGCGTATCGTCCTTCATCTTAAGACCCGATCCACCGCCGCCAATCAGCCCTGTCCAGGATTTGTGTTGGTCGCCCAGAGTGCACGGTACACCGTCAGTAGTTTTCCAATCAATTTTTTTGTCGCCTTCACCACTGAGCTCACCCTTCACGAGCAATATTCCCGATTTGATGTTCTCAGTCCCAGCCTGACAGTTAGCGGCATCTTCATGGCTGTATTTTCCAACAAGCATGTAAATATCACTTCCATTCACAACTGTTGTTGGTCGGCTCACATCTACTTTCTTGCTTGGGGAAACGCCTTCCTCCAGAACTTGTGTTTTATCCTTTGCATTCTTCAGCACTTCCTCCGGTTTGTTATCCGTTTCCATCGAGAGTAGTTGGGATGCAATGCCAGTAAAATATTTTCCATCCTTCTTGCACTGCGCCTCGGCAACGGCAAATACATCACTCCCCACTTTCAAAAGGCCGGGAACACCCAACGAGTTCACAGTTACACCATCCTCACTCTTGACGTCCTTCCATTTATAATTTGGTTCAGATGGCTTCCCATCAGAAGCCGCAGCCCCACCAGTGCCGCAGCACACCATCACGAAGAGGAGCAGCACCGTGGAAGTAAACACACGCCGGGACATTTTGGGCCTCTGCGGCTCACTCTCTCTTCCTTCCCTCCTCCTTCCGCGGGATCCGGTCACACGGCGACGGTTGTGTGTGCGGGGTGCCTTCACTGCGGCAACACGTGAGAGCATATAAATATGTGTGTGTGGGCGGTGTGTGTGCTGTTGGTTCTTTCAGTGCCTTCGAATTTCACAGTAGCGATTCGCGCTTGTTTGCTTTCCTTTTCAAGTGTGTGTGTCATAAATGGGGAGAAGAGCACAGGGAAACACATTAGACACGCCAGTGGGGTGCACAGCATGCCACTGCAGCAACAATCATTTATTCCAACCATACACACGCCGAGGTGGAAGGGCTGTGTGTTTTTTCAAAAAGGTCGACGCACAACCACCAGCAGACGTGCCAGCGCTCACAGCCAAAACAAAAAAAAAAGGGATACCCGCCTCGTGGGCAACAGGACAA